CCATGCCTTACGCCGCCCTTGGTCATAGAAATGATGTAATTTGAATATAAATTATTTATAAATACGTATGTCAAGTTATATTTTTATTACTACGTAAAATATATTTAAGAGTTTACGACCACTGTGATGGGTGAGACGTTGTTGAAACAAAAAAAGTTATGCATTCCGTCACGTACATAAACAGTGTCGTAATTCGCCAAGTGCAAATCAGCAAATTCGTAAAATTTTTGTTTATTTTGAACAATCCGGATAATCGAAAATCCGGATAATAGAGGTCCGGATAATGGAGGTTCTACTGTATATAAAAATGGCTTCTTGTAATAACTTACGTGTACAATCGGGTATATCTACAACCGATGTCCATCCTTCTCGGAACACGCAGGTGTAGGTAATATCCAAAGTCCCGCTGGGAAAAGTGTAACCTTCCAAGCATCGATAAGTACATTCCCTGTAATTTTAGATTTTACTTATTTAACAAAACGTTAAATCTCTATTTGCAAATTAAAAGAATTTGTAAAACAAATTCGATAATTTTAATATTTTTTAACTCTAGGAATATGCTTATCCGTAAAATATCGTTATGTGCATTAGCCTATTCATACTCTATGATGATAATCTGTTCAATCCATGTTTCCCGAATAACGCATTTTGCAGAATATTTTGATAATCCGAACGTGTCGTTATTTAAATCGTCGATATCGCGTATACGCCAGTGATTAGGTCAGAGGAACAATTTTCGCTACTTTAAAATATTTTCTTTTAAACTAACAATGTATTTCACTCTTTTCCCTCTATGTTTATTTCGGTTTCTTTACTCTTAAGTTTTGTTTTTCTGAACAAGTTTATTGTTTTAAACTTTGGTCTAACTGCCGAGTTTTTCCACTATTTCCTGCAATTGGTTCTGTGGTAAGAAAGAATATCACTTTCGTCGAAAACGTCAAAGTTCTTATTTTTGTCGATGATTGATTGAAAACGTTCCGAAGTCTAAACGAATCTCAAATAGAACTTTCTCGTTGCTCGAGTACAGATATGAGTTAAAAGAATTAGTCATCCAAATCGTTTCTGGAAGCGTTTGGTTCTTTCCCATCCACAACTGACGTACGGCTTTCATTTCGACCACACATTTTTGCGTTCCGATTTCGACGTGTGGCCGTTGCGTCATATATTGTACCGTAGTCATTCGTGTTCTTACGCCCTGGAAAATAACCGCTTAAGTAACAAACCGAGGAGTTCTGTTTTTAACGTGCTTTCGTTCACTCGCACTGGTGTCGCTGTAGTGTACGCGAACTAACACGGTACGATTCTGTACGGAAATGTTCTAAGAAAACGCACTACTAATAATACAGATAATACATTTTACGACGGCTGGATGACAGAAACGAGTATTCGAGCGAGAAAATGAAGAAATTTTTCACGGCGACAGTTTTAACGCGTTTCCTGTCGGGACACGTCATCCATCGTCTCTAATTATCCGACGCCCCAAGTCAGCCTTGTGGAATTGACCGCGAATAAAATTAAAACCGGTTGTCTCCGTGCCACGCAACGAAGACTGCGAATGATCATTTTTTAAACAATGCCCGGTTTATTGACTTAATGGCAACGATAAATTTAAAAGCTGTGTTTTTTTCATTTAAAACGGAGTCGATGTCGTTATTTTCTGCCGTCCGTAGATATTTTTAAATATTTCAATATGTTTCGGCATATTTTATTTACACGCTCCTAATATAAACAAATAATTACGTAGATGATTAGAATAGTAATTTTAATACGTTGCTCGTAAGCTTATTATTATAACTTTTAAATATTTATAATCGAATTACATCGCGTAAATGGTAAATGGAGATGGTTTTAACGACATCGCCTTATCACCCCCGAGTAAAATTTTTGTCTTTACATAATTAACGGAAGCGCTAGTCTGAAATGAAAGGTCCAACCCCGTTGTATTTTTCGTGTAAAAAAGTGGCGCGAAGACTCCGCTTGATTAGCTAATGTACTGTACGTTTGTATTTTTAAAAGTTAACAAAAAAATAAATAAATTTTAAATTAATTCGCCTACAGGAACATAGAGACGACTGTTTGAAAACCTTCGGAATTAAGCCAATACGATTTTAAAAGATTTAAATCTATTTTATAATTTTATGTCTTCACATTTTAATATAAAAAGCAAGAACTGTTTACATACACAGAACCCAAATTATAACTTCAATTATATTACTTTAATTACAAGATGATACGCATATATAATTTTCTTAAATAATTTTTTTTTTTTTTGATAATTCAGGCTATAAATAAATTGTATAAAAGTTAACTTAAAAGTAAGTAATATTTTTCTAGTTTAATTTACTATAGTTTACGCTGCTGACGCGCTCTGTTACAGTAAGCCTCAAAATCCTCCCAAAGAAGGCAGGAGACTGTTTTAAAAAACTGCAAAGCGTTGCAAAGCGCATTTACTACAAAAACTATATGTTTTGCATACTTATACGTTTCGCATATAATTATAATATTATCATCCGAACAACGTAATTATTTAATTAATAATAGTAACGTACGAAGAACAAATGCATTGGGAGGATTTTCAAGCAGACAAAAATATGATATTTGTGAAAAAAGTACACTACGATAATCAGTATAGGCCTAGCCTCCTTCGGTTTTCAAAACCTTTCTAATGCCATCGGGTAAAGAATTAAAAATGTACCTACAATCCTGCATTGTTATTTTGTTCCACTCATCCGCTACGCCTTCCCGTAATTGTTGGATGCTTTCGGGCAGAGTCGCGCAGTCAGACACGCGACGTTTAAGAAAGGACTAGACGCGCTCCACCGGATCGAGATCAGAGAATCGAAGCGGCCACTGGACCGGGCTAATATTTTGTGATCCCCAGCCACAACATTGGCCTCCCCGATGTGTGTCTCGGATCATTATCTTGCCGATAAATGAAAGAACTTCTATCAATGTGGTAATAATAAACAGATTGTAAAAATAATTGCCAAGTATCTCAGTGTAAATAACGCTATGTATTCTATTCAGTATAGAATATAACTATCTCGAGCCTAAATAGATAATATAGCCCCAGACCATACGACTACTACCACCAAATTTCAATGTCGCTCAGTTATAGACTTCATCGATGTAGTCCGTACCCATTTCCGCCCAACTCCGCTAATTTTGCATTCATTTGACCATACAATCTTCTTCCAATCTTCTAAGGTCCGGTTGTTACGTTATAAGCGTCAGCGGATAGTCGAAGTTTTCGCATGTGTTCCTAAGGTCCTCTTTACTCGCGAAGATGTACGGCAACGTCCACTCGTTATTAAACGTTCCTGATTTGGCGCTCGACATTTTTTTGCTGCCAGCTCTTAAAATTTCGTGATATGGTAGCTTACTACTTTTTATTCCGGATACACTCCAACGCCCAACACCATCTTCTAATACTGTTTTCTCAACAAAAATCTTTTCTTCGCAATACGGAGTTTCTTCTCACCACAAAGCTTCTTCGTGACGACGCGTATCGCGCACGGCTCAATTGCGTACGGTATTTATACTTTAATATCTCTTTAATACGAAAGAAATTGCATTCTTTAACTTTGATATTATAAGAAATTAAGTTATGCGTCAAAATGTTCCCAATGCGCAAGCAGAATTTATACACCGCAGATATTTTAAAAATACGAATATTATTTAAAATTTCCGTTATTATGTAAGTATTGTAATAATCTCACAGTTGATTTATTTCCTTTTCCTTTAACGCGGCGAACAGATTTTGCTATTTTTCTATAGTACGTACGAATATTGGGAAGATTTTGACGTTTACTGTATAAACAAAATAATTATAAAACGTCGATGACGGTACCGTTGGTGCGCTTTATCCTCACATTGGTCAATCGAATTTGCCGGCGGTTTGGGTATGTCGCATACTGCAATTAAAGAAAAAAATATATATTTAGCAAATATTATAAAATATAATTTAATCACATTTTAAGTAGATAAATAATTTACGAAGAAAATATAAAAAGGAATGTTCGTACATTGTAATTAGCGGCATTTATATTTTCACCCGACATTAATTTAGCCAACTCAAACTCATTTCGATAAACCGCCCGCAGAAAACTACGGCGAAATCTAATTCTTTTGATGGGGGAAACAGATTCGAACTTGGAGTTAAAAAATTTGGGCTGCGTGTGAAAAAGAAACAGGGCTGCGTGTTTTCTTAATTCTTTCGACGCTTTTAAATATTCTTTGTTTTCTTTCTGCGTAAACTAATTAAAATTGCGATTTTTTTAAGACCTCTTTCAAAAGCACCCGAGACTCTGTATTTTAAACAAAAGATACGAAAGCGCGTGGGCGTTTTACTTTAATTTTTTTGAGTTATCAATTTCCACCAAAAAGGCGATAATCAAAAGCTAAGTCGACATTTTTTCGTCGTGAAAAAGTAGCGACCGTCATCACTCCGTGGTGGAAAACAATTTATTTCAAAAACGCCACTGGCGTATTCTAATTAACAATAATAATTGTATAAATTTTAATCGTAAAATAACACAGTTTATACGTACGATTTTTCGAAGCAATGGGTCCGGGTTTGGGTCCGTGTAATCGAAGTTTGCGTTTGCTATATAAAACATAAACGTAAGATACTGTAAAGTTACATGTCGTTTACATTACAAAATAAATATTATATAATTATATATTATAATAAATATATATTGTGCATTATACACCGTAATTAGTTGCTCACCCGTAAAAGTAAGACAATACGGTTTAAAGTTATAATTAATCACGTAAGTACACACTGAATTTCTCATTAATTTAGTGAAGAACAAAGCGATACCCGGATGAGTTATTTTATTAAAAACTTTTTTGTACGAAAATATGTTTTTAAAGAAATAAGCATTTTTATATCTGTTTTCGCAGTTTATTAAATATAAGTATATAAAATGACTTGTTTTTAATTTTTTAAATTTAACGTTACGACCGAAATTAAAAACGGTAAAAATATTAAAACTCAAGAAGTAACGTTTAGACCAGCGTTTCTCAAAGTGGGCGATAACGCCCCCTTGTGGGCGCTGGAGGCTTTCAGGGGGGCAGTAGAAGGCTCAAAGAGAATTGGGGAGCGTTAAGGAAATATAGAGGGGGCGACGGCAGACAAATTCTATATATAATAATTCGACGGAATATATATAAAATGTTGACATTTTATATATTTTTTATTTTTTATTGAAGGTCACAACTTGAATATTTCTAACACATTGACTTTTATTTTAGCTCAGCGTTTCTCAAAGTAAGCAATAACGCCCCCTTCTGGCGCGATGAATAGATCTATGATAGAGGCAGGGTATTGAACGGTGACCAAAGGCAAAATTGGGGCTGATAAGAGGAAACATTGCGTTTAATGGTTTCCAGATGATGAGTACAATGTACAGTAAGGGCACAAAGTGTGAGATTCATAGAAAA